CCCGGGCGGTGTGGACGCCCAGCCGCGGTGGGGTTGGGGTGCGAGTGAAGGGAAGGACCTCAGAGAGGCCAGCTCGCGCCGGTGGTCGAGCTCCCCTCTCCGGTGGGTACTAGCCTCTTAATTTTGTCCTGAAACAGAAACGCAGCGCGATGTTTCCGAATGTTTTTGTTTCTGTAAAAATGCCGTATTGATTCAGCTTGACTATTTCTCTAGGGCCTGTACGCAAGTGTGTGAATAAGATGAGCAGTTGCACTAGTGGCAAAGAGGGTTTTCTGCATCTGTGTCCCTGTTTTATTAACAGGCTTTGCTCATTGTTCGAGGGTAGCAGAAAGTTTAAAGGTGTTCCACAAATTCAGTTTCTGCCTGTGTATACGGCTCAAGGTCTCACCTTCATTGACAGAAAAAAAACAACAGTACATTGTACAATGTTCATGAAGGGGACACGGGTTAATGTACCCAGAATCACGATTTAGGGACATTTCTAATAAAAGAGTTACAAGTATTCTAGCTATTTAGAATATATGATCGCATACTGAAAAGTTTGTTTTTCCCGTTTGAAATTCTGTAATCATCATAAAGACAGAATTTAAAAATAAATTAAAAGATGTGGCTGTGTTAAATAGGTGTATCTTAATTCTATCAACTAGAGTAAACTAGTAATTTTAACTGTTTGCTTCTGAGAGTCTGGTTTTCATTTTGCATTTCCTTAGAAATTCTTTCCTTGATTAAATAATCAGGAACTGTTGCTGTTATTACTTCTGATGGGAGAATGATTGTGGTAAATATCAGTTTCATACCTTGCTTTCTTTGAAGCTTTTGGTTGTAAACTTTCATGTATAACTTCTGATTTCTTTTTTTTTGTTGTTGGAGAGGTTTTTGTTACAGAGCGTGTGCACTTGCCAGAAAGAGAGAGACAGAGAGACAGAAAGTGAGAAATCCCCCCCCCCAGGGGAGATGGCCACACCGCAATCCCTTCTCCATTCTCCTCTTGGGATCTTGGGCACACACGCACACGCACCCCTCGTGAGTTTTAAGCCACCAGGTCTGGGACGCAAACCATGGTCGACTACCTGGGAGTCCAGCGACATAGCCATTACGCTAACTGCTGGTCCCTATAACTTCTGATTTCTAATGGCTCAGCACTGTAGTCCACCCGTGTTGCAATTTTCTTATGATTCAGCTCTTCTTTATTTCTTTGCTGTAGATCCATATTTTCTTCACTAATAAACATTGAGTATATGTTACCTGCAAGGCTTTCATAGATTCTGCCTTCAGAGAGCTCTTAGTCTAATCTGCAATTCTCTATCTTAAACTCATTTACCTTCCTCTTCTATTTTTTTTTTCCTTCCCTACTCTATGCTCTAACATTCACCCCTGGAATCATGAGTTTTTGAAATGTATGTGAGTCTTAGAAAATTTTAGAATTTACGCATTACAGATATGGATATTTAAGGCTTGTATGATTTCAATATTCTTTGACTAGTCTTAGGGTTATTTTGAGCCCTGTCTTCTGTAGGGCACATAATTACAATTGACTCCAAATTTATATATATTCTTTGTTTGCCCCTTGAAGTCATTTCTTAGTTGCTAATTTACCTTGTATAACAGATAAAACCTTCCTATGCTGGTAGTTGTATTTGGAATTTGAACTGAGAGTCCCATGATATTTGACTGCTTATTTTGTCATTTACAATTAATACAGTGATTGCTTTCCAAAAAGTTTTAAGATTGGTAAATTTTTTATTTCCTACTTTTTTCCAGTTACTTCAACAGTTTAATCCCCTCATTTCCCCATTTTGCAATTTAGTTTTTGATCCTTTTTATTTTTAATTGTGTAATCTTCACAAAGACAGGATCAAAGAACTGTGATTTTTTTTTTCCAGTAGATCCATGATTAGTGAAAGTGATACACTTTGCCATTTATTAAACGTATGTCATATACACATGTCTGTTACATTATTTAGTATTCTGTGAAGAAGAATTTACCCCTATATTTTAGGTTAGAAAGCAAAGTGAGTTACTTTCTCAGAGTCTCAAGGATAGTGTCACAGCCAAATTGGGATTTAAATTGGATTCAACTCCAACACTAAGGGCATTTACTTTGTTTCCTCCTTAGTCCAAATAGCAAGCCTGAGATATTAGCACCTCACATCGTATTTTGTCAAGTAGGAACAGTTTGAAATGTATTCACGTGCTGCATATTGACATTTCTGTCAAAAGTGGACCATGTTTAAGATGATAATGGACTATGCTAGGTGTGTAGAAGGCTGCTCCATCTAGATTTATGTAAGTGTGCTCTGTGATGTTCACACAATGACAAAAGCACTTATGAGTGCATCCCTCAGAGTGTGTCCATATTGTTAAATGATGCCCCGAAATATTTTAATCTTGACACCTCAAAAAACTCTATTTTTTTTTAACAGATATTTGCAGGGGTTTTTTTGTGTGCAAATTTCAAGTTTCAATTTTCTTTCACTGATACATTAAATACTCCATAGGTTCCTTTTCTTCCAAATTCTGGGTTCTTGATTTCTCTTTATTTCATTCTGATTTTACAAAATTTTGATTTTCAGGACACGAAACAGTTCAGTAGTGAACTTGAAAGATTTTTTAATGAGCCAAAACCAATGAATTGATGTTTCTTCAGAAACTTGAATAGCATCTGAGTTACTGAGTTGTGCTGGGCTCATGTCTTCCTTTTAGTCTAAACCAAGCTTCTTTCATAAAACTTTCCTTGATTATTTTAAATTCTACTTCTAATTTATACAGTCATATCTGTCTTTACCTTACCTGGTTTATATGAAGAATTAAAAATAAATGCATGCGAGACTCATAGAATATGGCACCTAGGGAGTACTTATTACGTGTCAGCTCGAAGTACCAGCAGCGGTTTTTATATATTTGATTAGCTCATTGGAGTTCTTAAAAAATAGCAAATTATATTTGCTTTTTTAATAATATAATTTAGTGGTTCAGTGACTTGGTTCTGGAGCTCACTGTTTGTGATTCAGATCTTGGCTCTGCTATTATTAACCCATGAGGTTTTCTTTTTCTTCTTTGAAATGCAGATGATTTTAGTATTAATTCAAAGATTAGTAGTAGAGATAATGTGTATAGTGTACTTGCCACAGTACCTAGTGCTGGGATTTAGCTTGCAGTGAGAACTGATGGGATATTGTAGTTGATATACATGGTCCCCTTTATTTATATATATATATATATATATTTTTTTTTTTACCATTTTCCATTAAATCTCCCTTCTTTTAGTCTATATCCCGAGAATGTTAACTCCGGGAGTACATGTGCTTTTATGATGCTTAGAAATGTTTCTACCATGACCAGTAGTTGGTATAATGGCTACGTCGTTGGACTCCCATGTAGTTGACCATGGTACATGTCCCAGACCCAGTTACTTAAACTCACGCCGGGTGTGTGTGCCTGCGTGTCCAAGATCCTGAGAGGAGAATGGAGGAGAAAGGATTACGGCATGGCCATCCCTACTGGGGGGTGATTTCTCGCTTTCTGTCTCTGTGTTTCTGGTGAGTGCATGTGCCCTATAGCAAAAACCTCTCCAAAACAAAAACAAAAACAAAACAAAAAAAAAGAAAAGAAATACTCCTACTAGTACACAGGAGTCCTTATAACTCAACTCTGCACACTAGTCAAATGTTTAATACAGTTTTTTCCCCCTTTTTTTTAAACAACCAAGAGGTAAGTTTTGTGCCATTGGAATACTGTGGGTTATAAAGAAGCTGTTTTTTGGATGGTTATCTTTAAAATAGGTACTTCTATTAGATTAACTGAAGTGGTTGTAAGGTTGAATTTACACATTCAAGTAAGCAAGAATATTTCTTTTTCTTCTGAAATTTTTGTTTGTTTCGTTTTTTTACAGGGAACACTGAAAGGTTTTGATCAGACCATTAATTTGATTTTGGATGAAAGCCATGAACGTGTATTCAGCTCTTCCCAAGGAGTAGAACAAGTAGTACTAGGGCTGTACATCGTGAGAGGTGACAACGTGTAAGTAGAATATGTCCTTTTAAGGCGGATTAAAATACTCTCAGCATAGTGCCTTGTTTTTATGGAGAAGAGTTTTTCCAAAAATACCCCATCGTTTATACATTGTTAATAGACATATCTCCTTATTTGCTTTGTAAATGTGACTTTTCTTACATTTGAGTAAAATAAGGCAAATATACCCCTTTATAGTTTTATGTTAATATTTTCCAGAAACCAATGAAAGCTATCCCTACAAATTAACTTTTACCTGCTGAGATTCATTCCTATATCTAATAATTAAGTGCCTAGACTGGTCTAAAAAGAGACCTACACCAAGTATTTTATTAATGAAAGCTCTTAAAACATTCTTCTAGATATCTTGAATTATAAAGGTACATAATATAGGCTTTTAGGATTGAAGGCGAGAGTTTGAAAAATGTCTTTCAAATCTCTTATTTGATTAATTTTAAACAATTCATGCTCTATAGTATATCTGTATTTACAAATAAGAACGTATCCATTATTTATTTAAGTTTATTTCCAGAGAGAGGGAGAGACTGTCTGTTACCATTAACAGGGTATTCATGCATGTTGCAGTCCTCCTGCCCCGCAGGCTCACAGGTGCACAGTGTGTATTGAGGCAGACCCAGAATTTGAACCTGGAGGCGTCCCACATGGTCTCCAGTTGCACCTGTACTCCCTGTGCCATTGTGGCTGGGCCTTTTACTTACTTTCCTTTAATTTTTTAATGTAATGAACACACTTGATATGCCACGTTTATTCTGTTACCTCGGTTAAGACACATTGATAAACAAGTCAAGAATATTTCAGGGGTGGCAATTTAAGAAAAGCCTACAGTATAGATCAGTGCTATCTAAAGTGACTTTTTGCAATGACAGAAATATGTATCTTTATTTTCCAATAAAGCTACTAGCCAAATGTGGCTGTTGAGTACTTGAAAATGGCTGGTGAATTTTAAATTTTATTTCATTGTAATTAGCTTTAATAATCACATGTGCCTAGTATTAGACAGTGCAGTTATAGAGGCTAGAAAAATGTTGAGTCAATTTTCTAATGAGTACTATGTAGAATCAAAAGATGACTGGAAGGCAGCAAAAGATACAGTAGTAATTTGTTTTGGGGGATAGGTAAGATATACAGGATGAAGGAATGTTTTATTTATTTATCTTAAAATCACCTTTAGATGGATAGATTATTTGATTTTAAATAAAAATCAGGGGCTTAGAAATTTTTTTTTTTTTATTGGAAGTGTACATGTGTGCATGTACTAGAGAGATTAAAAGCAAGAAAGAAAAAGCACTCCCCAACAGGGCCCAGCCATTCCACAATCCCCTTTTCCTCCATTTCTCCATTCCATCAGGATCCTGGGCATGTGGACACATGCCTACTATATTCTTCAAGTTGCCGGGCTGGGACTTGAACTGTGGATGGCCATGTGAAATCCAGTTGTCTGCCCAGGACTTAACTGCTGTGCTATAGGGCCAGCCCTAGAAAATATTTTGTAGAGGTGATTTTTAGTTGAAATTATAAGGTGAGCTGTAAAGAATGAGAGGGAAGTAAAGTAGATTAAGTCAGGTCCCCTGACCATAATGACACTGATTATATTGGAACTGTTTATAACTATTGATTTTAAAACAGTTTCCTTACTTAATTAAAAAAAAAAAAAACAAAAAAAACTAAAACATTTTCCTCAATTTCAGTTAAGAAAAAATTAAACCTTTGCCCTAGACCCAGTAGTGTGCTGGAGCCAGCTTGTACTGACTTATGAAAGTAGATTGTTTATACTTTCAGGAATATCACAGATGGATTAGTTGGTATCTTGCTAGTAGGTCAGAACTGGCCATCGTGGGAGTATTTGCATGATGTATATCACTAAGTGCAGCACATTAGCCTCTCTTTCTCTGGACAGCTGGTTTTTAAACATTTTACTAGTATTCCACTGCCCACCGTAAGGAATTTAAATGATACTAAATTAGAGTGGAATAAAGGTCTTGCATTTGTTTTAGTTTGAGCAAAGTTAGCATATTCTGTTGGAGTTTGGTACTTTTAGTTTATTAGAAAGCCGAAGGCTTTATGTAGTTTAAAGAAAATGAGGCAGGACCAGCAGATGGCATAGTGGTTACGTTGCAGGACTCCCTCATGGTGACTGCAATTTGAGTCCTGGACCCTGTGGCTTCAGTATATGCATGCTTGTCCAAGATCCCAGGAGAATGGAAGAAAGGGGAATGTGACATGGCTATCCCCCCTGGAGGGTGATTTCTCACTTTCCTTCTCTTTGTCCATTTATTTCTCTCTCTAGCTTTGTCTCTGTGGTAAGCCCTAAGGCAAGAAAAATCACTAAAATGAAACAAAACAAAAAGCAAAATAGGGCAAATTCTGTATTACAAGTATTTATCTTCAGAATGTACTGTTAACTAAAATCAAACAAATATAGATCTAGCAAATACAACCATTTTAAAAATGAAATGGTGTTTCGTAGACATCCTGTGGTCTGGATGATAAATAATATTGATTATATCCAGTTAAAAGGCCTTGGGTTGGTTACCAATCATGGTATTAAGGAATGAATCTAACAGGTGTTATGTTAGTGTGGAATCAAGGCAAAACTTACTGGTTTTACCACTAGGCAATCACATCTAAAACCACTTGTTAGGTGCCAAAGTATATATTGCTATTATTATGTTTGTATTTGAAAAGCGTACGTTTTGGTCTTAAATTTAAATGGTAGGAAGTGAAAAATTGTAAGAAAGAAACTAATAGATGTCATATATCATTGATGAATTTAGTTTAATGAAATTACTAAAATAGTACTTTTGTTTATTGTTTTAGTAATAACTTTGTGTTCTGTTTTTGTGTTCATTAGAATTTAAATTGTAGGACTGAAAGTTTTAGATATCTGCGTCTTTCTATCCCATCTGTGTGTTTTTCCATTAAAGACCCATGGTCCAATTATTTTATGTAATCTATCCTTTAATATTTGTTCCTATAATAGTGTTGTCTTTTAATTATTTCTTCTTGTCTTTTGTGACTTAAGTGTGTAGTTTACTAATGAAAATACTGTTTTTTACCTAAGTAATTCTTTGTAGTAATAGTATTTTCTTTCAATTTTGTATGTATCAGAATGGTACTAAGTTCTAAAGATTCTGAAAGACATCTATATTTTATTCAGAAATGTAAATTGTTTTAATGCTGACCTTTTTTTTTATAAATAATAATAGTGCTGTCATTGGAGAAATTGATGAAGAGACTGATTCTGCACTTGATTTGGGGAATATTCGAGCAGAACCTCTGAACTCCGTTGCACATTGAGGAAAAACTACATTCATTGGACATTGTAAATCTTTGTACAGGAACTGATTATTCTGAGGATAATGTGTGGAATTTTTTTATGAAGATGTAATTGTGGATTTTGACTATTGATTCACTGTAATATGTAAATTAAAATATTTCTACATTTTATTGAAGAGAAGTTTGACTTTTTTCCTTTGAACTAGACCATATATTTGGAGCTTGATTTTATTTTTCTATCAAATAGTGTGAAAAATCCAGTCATTTTGGAAACTTGTGTAAGTAATGCTTTCTGATATTTTAATATTGAGGGGAATAGTCGTAGAAAAGAGAAATTTGTGTGCTATGTAAGTGAGGCATGCAAATGTTGAGGTCTTCAGAAAAGTCATGATGTATTATTCTGTGTTTTTCTATGCAAAAATGCATCATGACATTCTCAATGACCCAGTAACATCATTGGGGCAGGATATGTCTGTTTCTTCCCTGATTTTTACAAAAGTCACAGCAAAGCCTTCTGCAGTTGTCTTCTTCAGTTATTTGAACAATTGGTAACTATCCTAGAGCCCTCGTGGTAACCTACTGGTTCTTTTGAAAGTTGCTCCCTGGCACTTGAGGTAAGGATAAAATGTGTTTGGTTGAGAAATTGAAAACTAGGGCCAGTAGTAATTGTGCTGTTCAAGATAAGCTAGGTCCCACATGGCAAATGCAGTTTGAATCACCTCTCAGTTGGCCCGATACACACCCAGTGCTTGTGAGTGCTCAAGATCTGATGGCTGGAGCACTGAGGAGGAGATCATGATGTGACCAGACACTGTGGAGGCCTCTTGTCTTCTCTCTGTCACTCTCATGTGTGCATGCACATACTGTCATGAATTTTTTTTAAAAAGGAAATATGCTAATAAACTAGAATGGGACACAACTGAAACTTGAATATTAAAGTTACTAGGAAAGATAAGGTTCATGGATAAGATATTGGTAAAATTTCTGGATGCCCATTAGGTTAAATATAAAAGGAATAGGAATACATTAATACTGAATTTTACAAAATATGTTATCTGAAAAGGAAATAACTCCATGTAGATATAAAAGCCATAATAACTTTTATTTATTTATTTATTTATTTTTGCCTCAGAGGTCTTATGCACTTGACAGAAAAAGAGAGGGAGAAGAGGAAAGCACCCACCATGGGAAATGGTAACACTGTGATCCTTTCTCATTGCTCCTTCCTTTTGGGATTTTCAGCATTTGCACACGTGTCTTTCAAGCCTCCAGGTCTGGGACTTAAAACTGCCCTTGGCAATATGAGATTGATTGCCCTTAATGCCCTTAACAAGAGGCCATTGTTCTAGAATAGCTTGGTTGATGCTCAGTGCTGTCTCTGGAAGGATTAGAGGGAGGTTAGCTAGTATTAGCTATTCATAAATCACTCTAGTTATACAATAAATGAAGTCCAGAGTTAGATTTTTTTTTCCATGTCCTTGACATTTAAACACAATTAACAAAAACACAAATCATTCCCTTGTGGTAATGTATTTATAATGTGTACTTTTCTGAAACCTACGATGTCTTAATTGAGATGTATTTTACTATTTGATGTTGGGAAAAGCGTTCCCAAAATATGAATCATTTCATATCATTTATGAGTGATTTATGAAGGAAGCAAATGACAGTATACCAGTACTTGGTTTCTGGATGCATGTGATAGTTTCTCTATGCTCACAACAAATTCAATTTGGATTTCTTTTAGCATGAGAATTGTAAAGGAACCACAACCATGAGTGGTAACATAATTAAGATACAGTGTCAAGATTTTTATATTCTTTAATGAGATTTCTATAATTAGTTTCTTATTTATAAAAAAAAGCTTAAATTAATTTTAACCTGTAATTACCTCTGTGCTTTGTGACTCAGAGAGTCTAAACCTAGCTTAAGTGTTTCTTGGTAAGATACTTCCATTAATGTTATTTGAAAAGGGCAATTAACTATAAAAAGGATGTGATATTTTATCCAAAAAGATCCTATCTATAATAATACTTAAATAACTATTGTTTTCAGGTTAAAGCACTTTAATAAGTTAAATGCTTTCACATACTGGTGATTTTGGCATGAATATTACAAATCTTGATCCCAGAAGAGCAAGAGATGCTAAACACAAACTTTTATTATTAATAGATGTGCTTTACTTAAACAGAAGAAAGCTTAACACTTTTATAAACTCGTTCTGAACTTTTAAGCTAAAGATGTGAGATGTGGGAACCAGCAGTTAGCGTAATGGCTATGTCTCTGGACTCCCACATAGTCGACCACGGTTCGTGTCCTGGAACCGGTGGCTTAAAACTCACGCCGGGCGCGTGTGCGTGTGAGCCCAAGATCCCGAGAGGAGAACGGAGGAGAAGGGATTGCGGCGTGACCATCCCCCCTGGGGGGTGATTTCTCGCTTTCTGTCTCTATGTCTCTCTCTGTCTGTCTG